CAATTTTAAATAAAGCAATGATCAAGCACAAGCAATCAATAAGCTATTGTAAATTAAATTGCAAGAATTAAAGGAGTAGGGTAAGAAATATCAAATGCTTCCATTTATCCTGGTTCGTCACCTTCTTTGGTGCCTACGTCCAGTTCTCGAGTTTCCTACGCTCAAGAGTTAATCCACTAACACTAGCTTCAACGGGTGCTAGTGAAACCGATTATAATAGCTTGCTGGTGCTATCAACCTTTTAAATCTCTTATTACAAATCTCTCAACCTGTCCTATACCTCAAGGATGGATTCTTAGATCTAACAAGGTTTCCCAATTCCTCTCTCACTTGTTACAATGAAAGAGAACAAGAAAGTAAGATGATTCTTAAGACACACAGGAAAAGCTTAACACTCTTCATTTTTCTTTTCAACTTCAAGGCTCTGTTCTCTTTCTTCTCGTTTCTTTCCCATCTGATTTTGTATGACTTGAGAGTGCTAAATCAATGCTTTTTACCGTTGGAGAATATTCTGCAAAAACCAAAATTATACGATAGAATGCACTTTCTGTTTTTAGTTCCCCATAACAAGGAAACATAATCATACAATTAAATGGACTTTCTCTAAAAAGGAAACACTTTCAAGTTAAATATATGACAATTAATCATATATTCACAATTAACTTTCAATCCAAATCAATCACATAAAATAAATATTCCAATTTACATTTGGTTTTTAAATCATCAAAATCAAGAATAACATATACAAGGAGGGGTAAATTTGTAAATTAATGATAATTTATTTTATTTTTTATTTAAGCTATTAATTGGTTTGGATCATTTAATTATGTCACTTAGTTTCTGTAAGTAAAAATTATTGAGTAAGCACACAATGTAAGCAAAAAGCACATTTTTATTTTCCATGTAATATTTTAAATAAATAAATTGAATTGTTTGGGTAGTTAACAGTCCAACTCAGCACTTAATTGACAGAATGACGACTTTGGTATTAGAAAATTTAAGTAAAAGGACTAATTTGGTAATTTTTTAAGTTCAGAGACAAACTTGGCCAAAACTAAAAGCTGAGGGACTAATTTAGGTTTATGTTTTGGCCAGAGAGAGGTAAAAAAAAAAAAAAAAAAAATTTAAGGATTTGAAAAATGGTTCGTGACCCCTCATGTTTGTGTTTTGCAATTACAATGTGCTAAAACTGCTATGTTTCTTAGCCCCACAGAATTCTTAGTAGGAGAGTTTAATTATTCGGCAACATTTTGGCAGAATTCATTCATTTAAGCTTGAAAAGGAAGAGGACACTAGATTCATTCATAATTATGGCATCTCGTGTTGAGATACAATGGTCCATGTATGACCAAATTTGAGGATTAATCCTCATAAAAAAATTTGGGGATTAATCATTAATGTATTGTTTCACTTTCCCTGTAGATAGCACGCCAGATTTCATCAATGTATTGTTAATTACTTCAAATTAACACGTGAACCCACTAATGAAGGTTAAGGCTTGCGGCTTGCCTTGTGGGATTGTAAGCGTCCCCCCTTGAGATTTGGGTTGATACAGC